GCGGTTCACCTCATTGTGCAGGCGGCACAGCCACTGGGTGAAGCTTGCCCGGGTGCGAGTGTCTGGCTGGTTCCTACCTATCCTGCAGGGAGCAGGGGGAGCACATGAAGGGAGGAGGCAGTGGCTCTACTGTCCCTGCCAGCTCCTTGCTGCTCCTGAGGGCAGTGCTGGGGCGCTACTGGGAGCTATACCTGGGAGTGCCATCGTGCTCCAAGGGCAGGATTTCCCAGAACAGAACTGACCCTGCAGCTTCCTGGGCTTGGTGGTCTCCCAGGGCTGCTCAAACACCCACCTGGGCAGCGTGGGAAACCTTAATAAGGAGGGCCCTGGGCAAGATATTAAAGCACAGACCAGGCAACTTTACAACCTTATAACAATCAGGAAGCCACATCCCAGTGTTCCTGGCCTCAGGCAGAGCATAGACGGGGTGGGGCTGGCACAACCATGTAACTGAAAACAAGACTTGTTTCTTTTTTTTTTTGGCGCCTGGGTGCGATATGGAGATCTGAACCCTTGACCTTGGTGTTGTAACACTGCACTCCAACCAACTGAGCTAACTGGCCACACCTCTACATTTATTTTAATCTTTAACTCCTCTGTTGTATTTTTTTTTTTTATTGGCAGCTGGCCATAGGTATAGGAACTTAAACCCTTGACCTTGGTGTTATAGCACTGTGCCATAACCAACTGACCTAACCTGCCAGCCCCCAGATTTTTCTTAGCACATTTGGCCCTAGTGCCTCACTTGAGCAAAAGACCTCATTCTAAATGCCCAAGCTTCAAACAGCAAGGGCAACTGCCTTACATGTCCAACCTAGAAACGCCTACAAGGGCCACACACAGCCCTTGTGATCCTCAATGAGGAAAAGATGGCTCTTAGAAGCAAAAGCAGGACTGTCTGGTTAGCTCAGTTGGTTAGAGTGTGGTTGCTGATAAATCAAGGGTATCCACATTGGAAAAGACAAAGTCAAACTCTCCCTTTTTGCAGATGACATCATCCTGTATACAGTAAAACCCAAAGACTATCAAAGAAACTCTTAGAGCTTTTTATTTCAGTAATGTTGTCAGATACAAAATCAATATGCAAAAATTAGTAATTTCTTTATTGTTCAATAAAAAACTAGCAAAAAAAGAATGCAAGAAAGCAAGACTATTTACCATAGTCAAAAAAAAAAAAAAAAAAAGGAGCAAAAGCAGTAGGTTCCCGAGATCTTAAAACCAGCAGTCCTGCTAGAGAAGTCAGGCAAAGTGGAGTTCTCCCTAACCTCCTGGAGCCTTCATCAGTGCTAAGCAAACGACCATGTGAGGGAAGCCCTTTCCGGGAGTTTTGTGGGTGCGGAAAGCAGCAGCGCCCAGCAGCAGATCTAGGCAGCATGACCTTTGAGGGGAGAAGATAACTCAGATAATCCAATCCATCCCCCCTCAGTCTATTGGCGGTCCCTGCTCCTCAGCAACCCTTTGCCACCTCTGCATCTACTTCTCTAGGCTCCCCTCTATGACATCAGCCAGGGGCCCCAGGCCCAGGTGCAATGCTCTGTTCCCTGCAGACGTGCTTACCTCTTCCTTAGGTCTTCAGCACACTCTTCACACGGGTAAAACTTGGAAAATAAATGTATGAACTGGGCCATGTCTTGCTGCTGTTCTGGGGTAGGCAGGTCGGGGTAGTAGGCAGCCAGGGTGTGGAGAACAGCCCAGCTGTGACGGCCCAGTTCCTCGCGATCCTGTGGACAGTCTTCCCTAAACTTGCTGTCCCGCTGCAGAAATAGGCCAACTAAAGGTCAGTTCATTCTCCCCCGACCAGAAGCCCCCAGAGCTGCCCTTTTCCCGCCCCAGACAGTGGCCCACTGACTCAGACAGGAGTCCTGCAGACGACCCGGCCAACGCGCAGCTGAAAGCTGAAAGACCAGGCCTACCTCGGACGCAAGGTTTAGGAACAGCCAACCCTGGGGGTCCTGAGCCCTTGGGAGGTCTGATCAGGGAACCTGAGAACAAGGTGTGGGAGCTGAGGGACGCGGCTGGGAGGTCCGGGAGGGCAACTGCACCTTTTGCTGCGTCCGCATCCACGTCTTAAAGTCCACGCAGGCCCGGCAGGGCCGCCTCCGGGAGGCATCCTCAGCGACCTGAGAGTCGAAGGTCGGCGTCTGGGCTGGTGTCGGGACCGAGGCGGCGGCGTCTCTCCGCCGAGCGCCCCGGCCCCGCGCGTCGGTCACCAAGTCGTCCATCACCTCGGAGCGCGCGCCGCCCGGCAGGAAGGAGAAAAGGTTCCCGCGTCCGAATCCTCCCTGCTGGCCGGGAGCCGCCATCTTGCTCGCGCAAAGCCTGCCGGGCCAGCTCGGCCGCCAGAGGGGCCTCCAGGTCGGCCTCCAGGCCAGCGCGCGCG